CCCCCCCCCCCCCCCCCCCCCGCGCGCGCGCGCATTATACGATAAGGAGAGGGAAGTGTACATGATTGAGCTTGGAAAATAGAAGGAAGATACGGGGAGATGTTTGAGGCATGGAAGATGGAATAGAGAGGAAAGGACGGTAGCTGTAGTGGGGCATAGGAGGTGGGTTGAAAAGGCGTGAAGGGATATCGTTAGGATAGACAGACTAGGGAAGACATTTTTGAGCCACCTTTGGCAAAGNGGGCATAGGAGGTGGGTTGAAAAGGCGGGAAGGGATATCGTTAGGATAGACAGACTACGCAAGACATTGTTGAGCCACCTCTGGCAAAATAGGAAAGAACGATTGGCCATCGGTGATCCGTCCTGCGGGAACAATGCACCGTCCTCTCGAGGACGCGTGGTCAATGGCCTAACCGCTATGGCATGCAAAACATAAGAGTACGCCCTCCCCCCGCGCGCGCGGCCCAACACCTCCCAATGCATTCATCTGGCCGGCCTGTCCCAACAGAGAACTGGGAATCACTACACGCGCTTTTTGGGTTGTGTTTCCTACTTCCATGAGCAGATTGCCTTGCCTTTTGGGCTGGTCGTACGTTGATTTTCACCACTGCTGCTGCTGCTGCTGTTGTCACCGATACTGACGCTGTCGTCCGCTGCTGATCGCGGTCGCAGGTGCTGGACTTCGAGCTTGAAGATGGTGCTGAGCCCGCGGAGGTAAGGACTAAGGGCTGTGGCGTGAGAGAGATTGGGTTTGCGACAGAGCGCCATGCTTGTAGGGGCAGAAAGTTCGGTGGGGGTGGCGACAGGTGGGCGTTGTCGTAGGTATTGTTTCGGTTGCGGTTGCCGCGACCTCGGCATCTGTTTTGGATGCGGGCAGTGAGTGCTGTTCCCCTCAGAGCGAACGTGGCCGTTGCTGTCGACGATCATAATCGAAGCGATGTTTGTTGGTCGGTGGTAGGTGCGGCTGGTGACGCCGCTGCGGCTGTTGCGCTGAGTAGTGCTGGTGTTGGCGCTGCCGGTGTTGTCTACAGAAACCGAAATCAATATCGTTAGTCTAGTGCTTTGGTTTCGGCCTCTGTTGCTGACTAGTCTAAATGGTTTGATTTCGGGCCTCTTTGTGTCTCAGGGTTAATCGACGGCCAAAGCTTCTCCCGTCGATGTCCTTCCGCCCCCGCTGCTGTTGCCGTGTCCTCGCCCGTGTCCCCCTCCGGATGCGGCAACGCCAAACTAATCCTGATGGTGATCGGGTGGACAATCGTCGCAGTGCGTATTGCACCTTACGAACAATGGCAGTGAATCGGTAGCCTTCAAGGTTAAGACCACCAAGCCGAAGAGGTGAGTCCTACCTTTTTTTCACGCATCTTTCCGGAACATGTTTGGCATTACTATCTGGTTAAGAGCTCGATTCGTTTTTCGCCGAAGATGTCCACCTGTGCAAACGTGCGGGGCATGCGGCATTAGTCGGAGAGACCTTGGTGTCCATGTCCCGCAGGCGATTACCGTACGTGACGTAAGATATCACACCCCCTGCGCCGAAAGCTTGATTACTCCCACAGCGGCAATTAGAGTGGCCGAAAAATGGCGGCGTTGAAACCGCCTCGTCGAGAGCTTTCCGAAAAGCGATCGTTGTATCCTCTTCGTCGTGGAGTACGTCGAGCTTTGAAAATCGGTTTAGGGGGTGTGATATCGTACGTCACTACGGCAATCGGCCTTGCTGGTCCTAGTTATGGTGCTGCTGCTTTTTTCCGTCCCATGTTTTTTCCCGCGTACCCGTTCCATGGTATTTTGGTACGTTCCGTTCCGTGTTTCCGGTATGTCGGCGTTGCGGTTTACTCGCTTCGTTTTGGGATCGTCCTTTCCCTTGCCAATTGTTTGCTTCTTGTTTGAATCGCCAGACAAACACCCCGAGCTGTACGACGATTCTTCTCACGCTTTCAATTTTTTTCTCGTGCCATGTTTTTTTTTTACCTTCTACTGGTTTGTGTGTTATTTTTTGTATTTTTGCGTTCGTGATCGCCACTCGTTCCCTGCCCGCCCGCGTCTCTTCCACCCCCACCCCCCTACCCCCGCCTGTGCCTAGATACCTAGTCCGTCCAAACCAGGGGGTTGTTGCTCCTTCGGAGGATTTGCCGGTGTCCATCGTCCTCCTGGCGCAGGACAAAGTGTAAGTCGCGTGCGCGCTTGTCCCCGGCGGTGCCATTGTAGTTGGTATTCCATAGCTGACTCGACCTTCTGCCGTCCTGATCAAGATGGATTCGTCAGGCAGCAAGCGAATCTAGTTAAATTGTTGCCGCCGCCCTATAGCAGCATCTAGTAAATAGGCACACAGAAATCGGTGTATATGTATTATATAGCTACTGGTCAGCCTGCCCTCTCCCGGCCCGGCCTCACGTGTGGTTTGCCGCTTTTTTTTTTTTTCAGGGGGCTTATTTCGGAGTTCATGCAGACCGGTGGGTGCAACGAGACCAACAAGTTCATGGTGCAGGCATTGCCGCTGCAGGGCGAGAGTGCCACCGCGGGCGCTGTGGTGAGTGGGGGCGGGGGGGGGTTGTACTCATAGTCGTGCATGCCGTAGTCGTTAGACCATTGACCTCGCATCCCTACAAAGCCGGGACGGAGCACGCCGGGTTCTCACCGGACCAGGCTCTCACATCACCAAGCGCGAAGCGCCGTGAGGTATTCGGCGAGTCGCACGAAGGGTGCGCTGCATCCTGCTAAGGGTGTTCGGCATCTCGTGCTAACTCCCTTGCGTACGGATTGCAGCTGCGTATGACTTAATTTATGAGTGGGAGCGGGATAAACGAGGGGGTAGGAAGGATCAGGAGTGGGAGGGAGAGAGTCAGTGGGGAAAATAATTTAAGGGTGGCCGTGAGCACTGTCGTTTTTTTGTTTCATCGCGTGGCGTTGGCTGTTGAAGCTTGCTGCATTCCCCCACCGCCCCTTCTACAACATCTCGTCACCCCCCGTATTGCCATCGTGCGGCACATGACGCGAACAGCTCTGGAGTATGACCAGCAGGGATGGCGCACAACAGCAACATTTTAGTCGTTTCATGGAACAGAAATAGAGAGGTTGGCAAACGAGAGCCCGAAATGTCACGAGGTTCCTGAGTGTCATCGAGGTTCATACGAGCAAACACTGCTTGTCCGACAAACCTATCCAATGTGCGGAGCCCCAAGTACATCCGTAAACCTTCTACGCAGATGATTACCTTTGTGTGGTCTTATATCGTATTATTTCTGACTAATTCATCGTCGATGGGTGCTGCTGCACAGCAGTTGGCTCAGTCTCTCTCTTGTGTGGTGGCTGACAAAGTGATTGACTTTTTTTGTACGCGTTGTTTTTTGTGCGTTGCGAAATTTTCCGTGAAACCAGCCCCCCGGTCTCTGGGAGGAGGCGAAGGCGAGGGTTCAGCAGAAGAAGTTGGTGGTCCACTTCACCTTCCCGCGGCCGTCGATACCGCCGTCCTCCGCTGAAACCCTCAAACAGGTACGATTCATTAGGTGTGTTGATTGTTTTTCCTTGGTTAGGTTCGACCGCGCTAAGATGTACCGACTGAACAATGAAGAGACGTCAGTCTTGTAGAGGGGTTTTGTGTGTGTTTTATTAGTTAGGATCGACCGCGCTATCCGGCTGACCAATGGAGAGACGTCAGTCTTGTAGCGGGATGAAGATCACGACCACGTGTTTTTTTTTTCTCCCATCATTGGACTCTGTCGTCTGCCCCTCTGGCCCCTATCCTCCACTTCTACCAGCTAGCCGACCCAACCGGGGTCACAAAGGAGGGGGGGGTTGGACCCCCTCCTGCGGTTCCTGCCTGGGATATTTTTATCGCGAGAAGGGTACAGCAATCCCTTCCCTCGCGACTTATGAAGTCGATCAAGTTTACTAACAACGAGCTTTGCAGCGCGTCGCTTCCAACGGAGACCAGGATTTAATTAGCGAGGAAAAAACTCACTCTGCCGGGGCTCGAACCCACAACCTGGCCCTTAGCAGGCTGCGAGGCTACCCACTAGACCACCGGGGCGACCGAGTATGTGTTCGTGTGTATGGGTTATTGGCACTGACGGCGCTAACTGGCTGACCAATGAGAAGACGCCAGTCTCAGTGCCGCTGGAAACAGATAAAAGTATCTGATGCGTGTGTTTCGGCTGTGGACTTCGTTCTTGGATTAATGACGGTCGTGGGGGGGGGGGGGGGGGGGGGGGGGGGGGGGGGGGGGGGGGGGGGGGGGGGGGGTGATGGTGGTGACGAATTACATCGTTTTGTTGCCTGCTGTCTCCGCCAGCGTCTTGTTGCCGCCGTAGCTGGTGCTAGTGCTCTCTCTATGGTGCTGTTGCGCCGATCAAATACAATCTGCAGCGACATACTGGTGCTCCTCTTGTCCACCGCAGCCCTGTACGTCCGCTACCAAGAATTCACTTTTGCCGTGCTTTTGTTGTTGTTGGTTTTGGTGGTTTTGGTGGTTTTGGTGTCCGTACAGGCATCGAATGGGGTTAGGGACGCCATCGCCGGGGGCAGCAGTCGGTCGAGGTTCGCTACCGGGACCGACGATGGGTTGCAAGGCGGCGCCGGCGGCGACGGGAGCGACATGTGAGAGGCTTGCTCGACGAATGGACGGGTAGACCGG